GGCAAATGTAATAAATTTCCCTGTTAGTAATTTATGACCCGGTGTGACACTCTCCCCCGCACACACACCCCCAACCCATCGCCCATTATAAAAAAACAATACGATATAGGAATTACCTTATATATAATACCGGTATTAGGCCACACATGTGTGTTTGAAACCAAATTTAAGCATTTTCATTATAGTTGCGAGGCCCTTCTTTTAGGTTAACCAATATATTTTAAATTTTCTTCTTCTTTGAGTTGGGACTATTGTGCTCAATGAACTTAGAAGCAAAGGAGGACAAGCAAATGTTTATATGCGCGTGAAGCGCGCAAAAATGTTTGAGTTTTGGGGATTATCATATGGCTACCATGATGCGTGTGTTTGAAGCTAAATATAAGTTTTTTTCATTATGGTTTTATTTATTACAAACACAATCTTTAACCCAATACACATTGAGGCCCTTCTTTTTGATTTTCTTTCTCTTTGAGTTTGGACTAGTATTCAATTAACAGAAGGCGAGGAAATGCACGAGTTAACCCTAAAAATGCGCGCGAGGCGCGCAACAAAATGTTGTGTTTTTAATGCAAATTTCGTCGGAATTGACAAGAATCCTGTCAAAACTCCCTAAAATGTGCATTTTTATAGGAAATTTGCCTACTTTACCAAGAAATGTGCACAAAGCGCTCCCAATTGGACATTTTCAGGCACTTTTAGGGGTGAAAAGGGATCTTCGGTGCCGGGGAGAGATTTTCCACAGGAATTATCCCTTTGCCCCCGGTGGTTACACCACTGCAGAGAATATCTGGCGGATTAGATCAAAGGCGCTACTAAACCAAAATGCGTTGTACGTCTTCTCATGTACAAATTTTGTTGAAGTGGCGAAGGGGATGCCAGGGTGTTGTGATATCTGGTCATATGATATCTTCCTTTTAATTCTTGCATTTATATTTATCTTCTCTTTTTCTTTTTTGTATTCCTTTTTCCTCTCCTTTTCCCCTTCTTGCTCTTTCTCTCCCTTTCCCCTCTTTCTTTCCTCTTCTTACCCAGTCCGGTACACGGGTTTCAGCCCGGTAAAAATCTGACACAACATACAAGTACAGTTCTCTCGGGTTTTAATAATGTCTAGGTTGATAGTAGACTTATGTTATTTCAAAAGTGTTAAATTCATAGATTGGGAATTTATTTTTATAGTATTAACATCGATAGTTTAAAAGTTAAGTATGAAATAACATCACATGCCTCAACAATCAAAATGCCGAATTACTTCAGTATTTTTTCTGCTTGCACATTCACGGAATCTTTTAAACCAGTGTATTTGATAGTTGACAAAATCACATTTTGATATAAAAATGTATAGCTTATGATTATGGTTTGAATATAAACACCTGTATTCATATGACAAGACAGTATTTAGTGTGTTTACCATTATTCAATTTGTTTAATTGTACCCTACTCTTTACTAAATAAATATGATTCTATTTTCTTTCATTGTTTGTACACTTACACCAACGTTCCGCAAACTGCGGGTCGCGACCCACCAGTGGGTACGCAAAAATATATTTGTGTGTCAAGAGCCTTGACAAAAATCACAACATTTTAGATAGACCCTTTTAGAGACCATATCGGCATTAGGATACATTGAAATACAGTTTATTTTGTGATACATTTCGTCGAAATGTCACCTCATAACTAAGACCATGACTAAACTTGACAAAAACGTCTTATTTAGGCGCGCATATCTCCACTCCAAGTTTTCCGCTTTGATGTCTTTAGATACCTAGATGCTCATATAGTCAAACTTCCTAATCAATCGAGTTTAGGAGCGATTGAGTTCATGTAGGTTCGCGTGAGTTATGGGGATTCCCCGTGAAGCGCGTTCAAGATAACTTTTTATTTTTGGTGAAGACCCTTAAGTATTTCTTGATATTTGCTCATTTAATTCCGATGAAATAATGAAATAGGTACCTGGGAATAGTTTTATGATGAACAGACGTCCATAATTCCGTAATTCTCATTTTGTGACTGCCTAGTGTACAGTATTATGATTAAGATAAAAGAGAAAACATGGGGTCTTCGTTTTTCGGTCTTCGTTTTATAGACACCCATATAGGGTGCCTATAAAACGAAGACCCTTGGATATTTCACAAACAGACGTCCAAATAATTCCATAATTTTCATTTTGTGACTGCCTGGTGTATTATGATTAGGATAAAAGAGAAAAAATAGGGGTCTTCGTTTTATAGACACCCATATAGGGTGCCTATAAAACGAAGACCCTTGGATATTTCACAAACAGACGTCCAAATAATTCCATAATTTTCATTTTGTGACTGCCTGGTGTATTATGATTAAGATAAAAGAGAAAAAATAGGGGTCTTCGTTTTTGGGTCTTCGTTTTATAGACACCCATATAGGGTGTCTATAAAACGAAGACCCTTAAAAGTATTTCTTTGTTTTCCTCAATTTATTGTGATGAAATAATGAAATATGTACCTGGGAATAGTTTTATGATGATTTGGAAATACTTCCAATGAAATAATTGAGAAATAATCGTAGGTCTTCGTTTTATAGGTCTTCGGTCTTCGTTTTGTAGGCACCCATATAGGGTGTCTATAAAACGAAGACCCTTGGATATTTCACAAACAGACGTCCAAATAACTCCGTAATTTTCATTTTGTGACTGCCTGGTGTATTATGGTTAAGATAAAAGAGAAAAATAGGGGTCTTCGTTTTTGCGTCTTCGGTCTTCGTTTTATATAGGCCTACACCCGAAATATTATGCCCACATACATCAGCATGCCTATGGTCACATTACACAATTTTTTTCACATAAAATTTGATAGTGTGATCATAAAATTTATAAAAATATATTCATTTATCCAAAATATATTAAAGAGTGCATTTGCGGCATCGCAATTCCATTTGTTCAATTATTGGACTTCGGCTATATTTCTCGTCGTTTTTTGTAACCTCTTTCTTTTATTGTATTGTATACTTTGTCTGTTTGTTGATTTGTAAAAAAAAAAAGAACTTGTTGTAATAATTGTAGTACTGAAACCTGTCGATACTGTGCTAATAAAGAAGTTAATTTAGGGGCGGATTCCGATTTTTTTCGTTAGGAGGGTGCAATTTCGGATGGTTTGAATTAAAACATTGAACTCTGGTCTTAGGGGCATGGACTGGTTTCGGCCTGGGTAGGGGAAGGCCGAACTATCCCCCTATTCCATGACTTGAATGACCATAGTAGGCCTACTTTAACCCCGTGTACGGTAAGAATGGCCCCGGAAAAAATGGCCCTAGAAAAAATGGCCCCGGAAAAAATGGCCCCGGTGAAAATGACCCCGGTAAAAATAGCCCCAAATGACAGGTAGGTCAAAATGGCCACAATAATTAAATTCTGTATTAAAACTGATTTGTTTTTCAATCATTATATGCATTTTTTTTAAACTGAAATAATTTAGTTTTCAAAAGAAATCTAACATTAAATAAATTGCCATTTACATTATACTTTTTGCAGAAATTACATATTCAATGATAAAATATTCAAAGATAAAAAAAGACCCATGAATAACACTTTTTATTTTTTTTCCATTTAAATGTTAAAAAATAGCAACAACATAATCAATAAATCAACATAAATCATGCATTTATTAATTCTAAAATAATTTATTTGTGGCCAATTTCAAGGAAGCGGAATCACAATTTTCCGAAATTCAATCCGGGTATTGGTAAACCCCACAAACAATGAGTTTACATGAACATCAAATTATTATTTTTTTTTTTAGAAAAAGAGAGTTTTACAATCGTAATTAAAGGGTTTGGATGGGGTTCGCAGTGTGTTTGGAGGATTGTGGTGTATTTGCAAATTTTTTCACCAAAAAAATCAACATTTTAACCAAAAAATAGGTTCTTATAAATATTTAACTTCTTATTGATACACCAAGTGAGTCAATCACAACTGAATTATTTTAGGAGGTTTTGGGGGTTTAGCAATACCATTTGATCCTACCATAATTACTTTACCCTCACAATTACACGCCATTTTAATTCTTAGCATAATTGCCATATTTACATAACTATGTATATAATATAGTATCTCAGTTTACATTATTTAGTATAGTTTTAGGCACTTAAATTTACTTGGCGGGGAGTAGAAACCAAGTATGCAATTAAATAAGATGCTTAAATAAATTTATTCCTTATAATTATTCAGTGTACTTTAAAAACAATATTTGATTACCAAACACTTCTTTGAAGTAACTCTTAGCAGAACATTTGTTTAAGTAAAGTAAGCCTCCCTTTTCCCATACATGAACTTGTCATTCAAACACACAATTGATCCACATGCTTTAACTACTGTTTATTTGCACTGTTTATAACATGTAAAGTTATTTCATTTGATACTTAACAAAAGTGAATTTTGTGGTTATCTATGAGTTGCATATTTTGGTAGTTGAAGTACTGTATGTATGTCATTCCTCTACTAGTGGAATAACGTTTTTAAAACTTATTTTAACTATCAAAAAAATGTTCAATGGCCGTTGTTTTCTGATAATCTCTCAGTACATTATTTGCATCTGTTGTGTAACTGTATTTGTTATTGATTCAATTCTTGCTTATTACAGTATTTAAATATTTGAAGATTTAACAAAAAATATCATTTCTATTACTGAATTTTTTCATTGGGGCCATTTTTACCTACTTGTCATTTGGGGCCATTTTTACTGGGGCCATTTTTTTCCGGGGCCATTTTTTCCTGGGAAATTTTTTTCCGGGGCCATTCTTACCTACATTACTTTAACCCACTTATTGAAACTAACTGCCACCATGGGGAAGAGGGAGGCGTCCGTACCTGCCTCGCCAAGCCTCATGACGCTGTGGTTAAGATAAAGAACTAATTATTTTTTTAGAGGTCTATGATGGTTTAAAAATACTCAATAGACTACTTTTGTCAACATAGCCTGCTAGTTCCCCACCACCTCTAAATCTGCCCCTGTAGGCTGCTGTATAATTTCATGTAAACATTTGTTAATGGGAAATGAATTAATTTCGAGCGGCTCTGCATCCACAATCAACTTGATCCATACCGGCAGACATTCTGTATCCGTTGAAACCATGCATGACGCAGATGACATCATTCTGTGAACAATAATAGCCTAATTTTTATACATTAATATTATGTAAATCGCTCATTATTACCATTCACCTTCCATCCATGTCATCAGAAATGTCAGTGTAGCAACGATCTAGTGTTAATTCAGCGATTTAAAAACAGGCCTACAACCAAGCCAAACACAATTCGCTGATTTATTTCATTATTTATTTGACCTAAACATTCAAATAGCATTAATAATGCTTAATATAATAATATTAATACAATTAGGCATTATAGTCAAACAACAATTAAATACAATAATATTTGAATACGAACACATCTGGTTTAATATGTCTAGCATCATTGTTACACAATTAATTAATTTAATTTAATATAATATGTATGATGGCAAATGCTTTGTTAGGATACATTAAATTGATGTTTAAAGTACATTAATATAGATTAATCTATTACCGTACTCGCGCGAATAAGCGCCGGGGCGCTTAAAATATTTTTTCCACTTTCTGAGGGGCGCTTATTTAAACGGGACGCTTATGAAAACAGAGTGAAAATTGAGGGGGCGCTTATGGAAATAGATGAAAATCGAGGGGTTCTTATGGAAAATTTTCAAATTCAAGAGTCACTTTTTGAATAAAAAAAGATTATATAAGGACATCACGAATGGTGGTTAGAAAAGATAATCGTCCAGAGAAAATGGCTCATTACAAGAATGCGTGAATATTTACATAACAGCAAAATAGCAGATGCTAGTGGTTAGCTTGTTGGCCATCGGCCGATTGAGATTAGCAGGATGGTGATGATCATTGTATTTTTTCTTGAAAACTCAGATGAGAATGTGCTAAAGGTCGGAAAAAGAGAAAGAGGAGTAGGAGTAGGCATAGACAAATATGTAAAAAGAGTAAAGTTGGAAATATACTGTCTGTCCAGGGATCGGAGCTCTCATCTGTCCAAGAGAAATATCCTCATTTTGATATTGACGAAGTAGAATGTGTTTCCACTCTACAGCTCAAATCATGCCAACAACCACAGTCCCAGGATTGATTGGATTATTGACTTGCTAAAAAGAAAATCTTATGAGGGGTGCTTATTCAAATTAGAAGGTGCGCTTATTCAAACGGGGCGCTTAAGGAAATTTTTCACGTTTTTCGCGCTTATTCAAACGGGCGCTTATTCGCGCGAGTACGGTACAATCTGTAATCGTTCAAACTAGGCATCTAGCTACATAATGGCCGTATAGAGACTGGGGGATTTTGCATCAAGTAAGTAAAAAAATAGTGTATGTATATTTACACATTTACTAACATCCAATAGGCCTTATGTATATGCATATGATTGGACTTCTCGTATATTTCGCTTTTTTCATTTCTCATATTTGTACTCGTGCGTTTTATACCGTATACGTTCAAACTAGGCATCTAGCTACATAATGGCCGTATAGAGACCTGTCTCTTATACACATCTAGATGTGTATAAGAGACAGGAATAACGTTTTTCAAAACTTTTATTTCTACTATCAAAAAATGTTATTCAATTGCTATTGTTTTCTGATAATCTCTCAGTACACATTTTGACCGTGGCCATTTTTACCGGGGCCATTTTTTCCTGGGCCAATTTTCCGGGGCCATTTTTACCGGGGCCATTTTTGCCTACATTCATGTTAAGATATGCCACACGCTGTACACATTGACTTACCAAGCATGTGCATAGACAACCAAGTACCTGTTAATTGGTAAAGCAAAACAATATTTTAAGATATGCCACACTTAGGTTGTGTTTACGAACTTTCAACGAAACCGGATAAGTCAAAAATGACACAATGCCCAGAGGGTAGGTCATTAGATCGCTCGTTTACGAACCCCAAGTTATTCGGATACGGACAGAAGGTATAGGCCTCACGTCCCAACAAGGAAATTCAACAATGAATTACCTCGCCTTGCCTACGCTCGAACTCCAACCAATTCTAAAAAAACCCAGGCGTTGGAAATTCCTAGCCAACTGGGAAAATTACAAAAAAACAAAGAAAAAAAAAATAGCCTACGGACTTACTACTACTGTACTTCTACTAGTTCCACTAGTGTTCAGAGCCGACAACGTGTCAACAGTGTGTGGTGGACAAGAAATGGGTCTATTGCCAAAAATTTCGTTCATCTCAAAATACGGCCATTCTGTTGTGGGGGGGGGGGTGACTTCCCGTTGGAGTCCTTTTCCTGGGTGTATTTTTTTGCGCAGGTTCTTGCATTTGGTATTCTATCTGTGCGTGCGTAAAGTTATAACCCATTTCCCGCATCTTTATAAGATAAGATTTCTTTATAAACGGCGTTGTTCCGTCGGGTAATTGTCTTGTCTACGTCCATGGAAAACACTTCCGGTTTGCTGAGAGCGCATAACATCAACAAATATCACTGCAGCATAAATTTGGTAACTGCTGAATGAGTTTGGTCACTGCTAAATGAATTTGGTCATTGCAGCATAAATTTGGTCACTGCACAGCATAAATTTGGTCACTGCTGAATGAATTTGGTCACTGCTGAATGAAATTGGTCACTGCTGAATGAATTTGGTCACTGCTGCATTAAATTTGGAACTGCTGAATGAATTTGGTCACTGCTGCATTGTAATGCTCCCTGAAGGCTCTCCCTGCGTTCCATAATAGTCTGCCAAATCCACCAGCTCCCTCTCTCCAGATTCAGGAAAGTTTAATTATTTTCTTCAGGAGCTAATAAAGCAAGGTATCCTTTTTCCACCGTTGTATAACGTATATACACTGAATTTCATCTAAGTGATAGTTATAAGATAAGACTGATAAGACTAGGCTCGTTTCTAGGCTATAGATAGAAGTAAGAGCCCTAGGCCTAGCCTAGCCTAGGCTAGCAAGAGAAACAAGTCCCACCCCCACAAAGTATTCTTAATTAAGGTCTAGGCCTAGCCTAGGCTAGTGAGACAAAGACTCGAGTATGGAGTGGCCCAGTGGCGGCTCTAGTATATATTTTCTGGGGGGGGGGGGAAGTTGTCCCTAGCTGTCCTACAGGGGGATTTGGGATCGTAGGCCCGAGCTGGAGGAAGGGTTTGAGAGGGTTATCCCCCTCTCAAATGAGATTTTTTTTAAAAGAATAGGAACCTCTGGATGGCCAGAAATGACACTCTCTGATTGTGACAGACATGTGTTTGTTTGACGTGGACCTCTCCTATTTTTATATATTTTTTAGTCCAACTGCCCGACGAGCTCTGTCCAATGGGGGGGTGGGGCTTAAGCCCCTGCTATTCCCCCGCTGGCGCCACCACTGGAGTGGCCTAACCTGTGCCTCATCGTCTGAACAGAATAGGCTCAAGGCCTAGCCGTTCTAAATCATTTAAATTTATGTTTTTAAACATTTATAATGAAAGCATAAACCTGCTTTTCTTAGTCTAGCCAGTATATTAGATAAATGAGTACAAATAATCATGGTTAGCCTTCCTATTAATTAATACTACTATAGGCACTGCCTTTCTTTAATTTTGTTTTGTTAATTGAAGAAACAAATTGGCTATGCTTACGTCGAGATGTAGTGCATTAAGTTAGCGTAAGTTATTTTTAAGGTTAGGGTAAAGCCAAGTCAACCAATCAGCGCGTTGGGATTTGGGATCATTTCGGCGTAAGCATCTAGCATTGAAGAAAAGCACCAAAGTCTGCAGGAGAGTCAGAAACAATGTTTGAATGTTATTAAACGACATGTAAATCTGTAGATTTGTGTAACATGTAGCCTACAAATACAAAATTGTAATTAAAAAACTAATCTCTTAAAACTGTTTAATTGCATATTCCACAGGTTAATTTGCATACAGGTGGATCTGGACCAAGTGACAGTAATGTAGAAAGATGAATGGTAAAACAATTTGCAATCAACTATATCTTGTGACGACACTGGTAATGTTTGCTGGCATTGTAGCATCCAGGAGGGTTTTCTCAACCCAGGGAACGGTTGAAGCTGGAAATTTTACCCACTATATATGTTCGGTGCCTGGAGATTTGCGATTGATATTAGAAACAACAGAGGGTGATGCAGACTTGTACATTAGAGAAAGTAATGTGAAAGCAGATTATGAAAATTATGATCTAAACTCAGTCACATGTGGACAGGATTATATTGACGTTCCTGAAAGTTTAATTCGTCCTCTTTCTGTAGCAATTTATGGACATCCAAGTTTTAGTAATAGTACGTATGAACTATCGGTAACGGTGCATTCGCTAATGAAAGAAGACGATTATCAAGCTCCAAACAAAGAAGTTTACAGGGAAGAAGAAGAATCAATTTTACTAATAATTTTGAAATTTATTTTTGAGTTTGTATTAGAAATCATTGTTTAAACACATTTTACATAGGATAGCAAAATAAAGAAACATAAAAATTTTAAAAACCAGGTTTGTTGACTTGCCACCATGTAGGCCTACAATTTTTTTTAATTAAGTATTGAAAATGTAATTATGCATTGGTGCTTAAGGGTGGTGGTGGTACAATATTTTATTTCAAGTACCGGTACTAATATTTTAAAATTGAAGAAGCCACATTTTTTTTGTAGGTTAGTGCTATACAGTATGTATGTCAATGGAACATTTGGGTGATTTAAATGGTACTTTTATAGATCAGTGCTTCCCAAACTGTGGGTCATGACCCAATAATGGGCCGACAATATGTTTTAGTGAGTTGCAAAACGTTCCTGTACATGCAAAAATAATCATGTCAAAGAAAATAGGTATTTTAATACTAATAGTGATTGATAAACTTTTAAAAAGAAAGAACGTTTTGAAGGTTTATCCATTGCTTATCATCGTTGCCTGCAAGTAATTGTTTTCATTTTGTCAACGGTGCAAGGCCGATCACCACAATGGTACCCAATAAATACTGTAAGCTTGGGAAGCGCTGGTTTGTGAATGTTAATTATTATGCTGCTCACTTTAATGGTACAGACAAGTAAATATTTTAATTATTTGCCAAATCAATAAAAGCAAATGTAAAAACTCAGTGAACATGCCAAAAAAAAAAAAAAAAAAGAATACTGTACATCAGTTTTAGTTAACTCGTATAACTATATCAGGTTGTGGCTAGAAAATTATCAAACTATTTTTGTACTTTTTGGAGAATAATTTTGGGAGTAGGAATTGGTCTTTTTTGGATTTAGCCATTTTTAATCAAGCCAAAAATACATTAATGTATTTAGTTTTTGTGTATTTTCATAGTGAAAAAATATCATGTATACCTTTCATCTATAATATAATGGCAAGTGAAGAAAGTATCAAAGGACTTGTAAATGTTATGACCCCTTGTAGCTGAGGCTTTATAATTTGACAAGCATACAACACCTGCAATTCTTGAGCAGTTTATAGTCATGTCACAGTAAATTATACATAAACCAATACATTTATTTAATACCACAACATCTTAGCAGGCATTCTTTGGCATACAGCACCCACTGAAAATTTTCTAAGCAAAAAAATTAGACTCAAAATCAACTCATATCTAGTAGCTAGTTCCCCCCCCCCCCCATTTCAGTTTGCCTAGATATGCCACTGCAGGTACTCATACTTTTGTGTGGAGAGATGACAAGTTAAGGTACTTTGACAAAGGACACAAGCAAAGAACAGCAAAGTGTTTGAACATCAACCTTGAAGTCAAGAGCCTATAATTGCAAACATGCGACAGTGCTCGCACTAATATCTATGTAGTTTTATTTTTTCTTGTTGAGTTATGTACTTTTATGTACAGCATAAATTGTGATATGATTAAGACAATTTAGGTAAATTGTACAGGGAAAAAGTAAGATTTGAAGTCAATGATACATTTCCATTTGTATTGAAGGTTGGCTTAAATGAATTATTTTGTAATAAAGAAAATGCTTGCTAAATTTAAAAAAAAAAAAGGTTCATTGATTGATTGTACAAAGGAACCATGGCAACAATTAACTTTTTACTATTCCAACAGCCCACTTACCTACTTGATCTCTTCCTGAATATGTCTCTTTATCCTCCCTCCATTCTTCTGACTTAAATTTGCTAATTGTTCCTAAAGTGAACTCCCAAAACATATTGCCAACTCGAGCTATTTTTAAAACCGTAACACACTTTTTAACATTTAAACATGCACAGCGCCGGGTGTCTATAAAACGAAGACCAAAAACCCATAAAACGAAGACCCCCTATTAATAAAAATAAAAGAGAAAAAATAGGGGTCTTCGTTTTTGGGTATTTGGTCTTTGTTTTATAGACACCCATATAGGGTGTGTATAAAATGAAGACAGGCAGCCAAAAAATATTGGTAATTTTGATTTTGTGACAGCCTGGTGTATTATCATCAAAGTAAAAGGGAAAAAAATAGGGGTCTTCGTTTTCAGGTTCATGTTTTATAGACACCTGCACAGCGCCTTTGATATTTACCTACACTAGGTTTATTAATATTGGCACTTAAAAAATTATTATTATTATTAAGACGACTCCCACACCTGTTGTGGGGGGGTTTGAGAGAAAAATTCCCTCCACTATCCAATTATGGAGTGGTCAAAAAGCATAATTCTAGGCCATAAAACTCTGCCCATGATCCCAGAGATCTTTATCACAGGACCCTGTCCGAAGCTCTAGTTGGCCCTTGGTTTGGACCATTTACAGCAAATTTCTGGAGCCACCACTGACCCACAGCTATCAAATATTTTCACAATTACGTTTTTACTTGA